TGCAAGCCTGTCCAGATTGGCTACAGTTGTCTGAGTGTTTCTACTGATGGTTGCTTTTTCCCAGCCAATTGGGTACAAAGGGGGTATCATATTTGCAAGCTTTGTGGCGTTCTTTATGGTCCTCATTTGGATGACAAGGGTCTGGACTTTATGAGATTTGTTGGTACCGTGATGAAGAATCTGTGGGAATATATCAAGGACAAGTATTCTAAAGCCAAAGAATCTGTCAAGAACAAATGCACCTACGCTTCCAACGTCTGGGGTTGTCGACAGAATATAGTCGACAGTTTTCCGAGAGGTATCCCACGAAAATAGATTGATCGACAGAGAGACGTGTAATCAAGAACAAAAAGCCAACAGAGACACACGAGTTAGACAGGTTCAGACCGTCAGTATGACGTAATACCCTACTCCTATGGTCTGTTGGATTGTATTGACTATCGTATGATATTGCGTGAGTTTAGAGGGGGTCCCTACCCGCCTTATATAGTCCGGGGGCAGGGTTACAAGTCGGTTAGATCTGAGAGATAACCGGAAAGTAATAACAGATTACAGAAATCATGGGATCATACGTATCCTAACGATCTCGTAGTATCTTCGAGATATCTTCCCGGTGTCTTGCGGGAGATGCCGAGCAGCGTCGTGCCCCGCAAGGCTTCGTCTTGTGGGCTGGGCCGCCCCTGGGGGCGCAGCCCATGTGGTCTGCCGTGGGTATCCAGGGTCGTACCCCCCCACAGCTAGTCCCCGAGCGCCTTGTACCCGTTGTGCAACGCCGTCTTGAGCTTGTCAGAACAGGTACGAACAAAGCTGAGCAGTCAAACTCATGGTCCGACCACCGTGATGAGTTATCGAGCAGTTGTGAGCAGTCGCCGAGCAGCGTGAGCCGTCGCCGAGCAGTGTGAACCGTCGCCGAACAGTGCAACCCAAGTACGACTTGCCATAAGGGTGCAAGGAGATCAAGTTCAAAATCGAAAATTTCTTCGCAGTGGACCAAGTGTGCCTACTTAGAGTCCGACCACGAGAAAGAGAGATGACCTTCTTTAGTTTCAAGAGGCGCGGAGTCTTCTAGAATAAAGCAAACACATTCATCGCAAGGTGAATGTGCCCACTTAGTCCCCGAGCCTGACAGTAGATGATGTAGTCATGTGGTGTCAGGGTCTAAAGTAGAAGAAAAGTAGAAGACCAGCCGAGCAGGCAGCCAGTCCTCGGACGTAGCCCCGAAATGAGAAAAAGCACATTCACCGTAAGGTGAAGTGTGCCCACTTAGTTCCCGAGCCTGATAGTAGGTGACGTAGTCACGTGGTGCCAGAGTTAGAAACAATCAACAGAAGAAAGCTTGCCGACGTCATCTGAGATGCACGTATCAAGACCCCAGACATGCTGCCCAAGATCAACACCCTGATCCAAACAGCATGGAGCAGCTTGATAGCACACCGATGAGACGTAGCAAGACCCGACCACCAAGGGAGTCCTCAGCTTAGCTGGCGATGTCTGAGCACCGAGGAGTCCCCAGCGTAGCTGGCGATGTCCGAGCACCGAGGAGTCCTCGGCGTAGCTGGCAATGTCCGAACACCGAGGAGTCCCTGGAGTAGCTGGCGATGTTCGAACACCGAGGAGTCCCCGGAGTAGCTGGCGATGTCCGAGCGCCAAGTAGTTCCCGGCGTAGCTATTAACTGGCGGAGAAGTCTTTAGCCGGCCAAGGAGTCCCCAGCGTAGCTGGCGATGTCCGAGCACCGAGGAGTCCGGTCAACTGTTCGGCGGCGAAGTGAGCATTGAGTAGAAGCGATCGATGAACAGTCCGATCAACTAGTCGGCGACGAAGTCTATGAACCTAGCGGGTCGACCAGTTGATTGGTGGAGAAGTCCAAGCACCAGGTGGTCCGACCACTTGATGATGATCCGGCAATACAAATATGTAGAACGGGTAGTACATGATGTAAACATACATGAACCCCGGAGAAAAATCAGCAATGGTGATGAAATAGCGTATGCAGCTCGGCGGTCAGTTGGTGTGAAAATGTATTTATATTTAGTATAAACCGTCCGACCAGTTAGTGTGTAGCTGAGTCTCTAACCCTAGCTAGCCCGTTAACCATAACGCGAAGCGCGGAGTCCGTGTGCGTGTAGGAAGAACAAAGCATCGCTAAGGAGCCGCTGCCGACCACCCATAACGCAGAGGACAGACGCTCGTGCACGTGTAGGGAGGAGCCGGAGACAGGGCCGTCTCTGGGAACATCCGAGCGTCAACATGACTGTTCGGGGGGTCAAAAAATCGTTTGGAGAGTAAACATGGAGAAAACAACTCGGAGAAACATTATGGCGATATACAGAGATTGGAAAATATTTAGAAAAAAATTAAAGCGTAGCTTAGCTTTAGACAGAATGTCTGGTCGGCGGCGTATGGCGTTATCTGGTCGGCGACGCGGGCAGCTCGCTTAGTGGCTCGTTTGACGGATGAAACGAAGTTGATCTCGTGTTGGAGTAGGACGGGCGTTGTCGGAGCTTGGCGGTGTCAATCCGTGTACGAAGATGTGTGCCGTGGTTGTCGAAGGAAGTCGACGCGATCAGCCGAGTTGCCGTGAAGGATGTTGATCTTGAGTTACGCCATCTGGTTCACCAGGGACCAGCGCGCATAAGCCCCACGGTGGGCGCCAACTGTCGACAAAAGATGCTCAGTAGTCCTCAGTTTCTCCTTCCCGCGGGGGGCTGTCGACGCAGACGTTGAAGATCGCACCTCCACGGAAAGGAGGGAAGAGAGGTTGCTCGGCGGTGGTTTCGGCGATAGTCTCCGTAGAGCCCTAAGACTCAGAGTCTGGATTCTCCTCCAAGATGGTTTGGAGGGATGCTCCGGGGCGTCGGCCGACGTGCAGCATGTTGACGGCCGGCGGAGGTTGGTTGGCGATCTGGTCGGCAAGAGGATGGACGTCTCCAACCTGGTCGGTGAATTTGCCCCTTAGGGCATCTTGGTAGGTGGCGGCGACGTTGGTGAGCCCAAAGGGTAGGGCCGTAACCCTTGGAGTTTCCCGAGCAGCCTCCGATAGATCTGGATCGGAGGGTGGTCGGCGCTGAACGAGAGTGTCCAGAGCCGATTCTACGATGGAGAGGCAATCGACGAGCTTCTGACCAACCTGATCGATGGATGCGATCAGATCGTCGTTGTTGATTTGCCTCCTCTGGTAGCGAGGAAGCGGGCGGCGAGTTGTCGATGAAGGCGACCTTAGAGGTGGTTCCGAGATCGGATCTGCAGTCGCAGGTGTTGGGGTGATCGGCGCAGAAACGATCTGCACCGGCTCGATGAGCTCTCCGACTCCGTCAGCGCTGATGATCCACGAGATCGATCCGACCGTGAAGATCTGGCCGGGTTGCGGGAGGGACGAAGAGCCCGCGGAACGTACCATCTTGTTCGATATAGAAACAGCACGCACACCCCTACCTGCCGCGCCAACTGTCGACAAATATCATCGGCAGTCCTCCGAGTGGTATCCCACGAAGGTAGATTAATCGGCAGAGAGACGTGTAATCAAGAACAAGAAGGCAACAGAGACACACGAGTTAGACAGGTTCAGGCCGTCAGTATGACGTAATACCCTACTCATGTGGTCTGTTGGATTGTATTGGCTATCGTATGATATTACGTGAGTTTGGAGAGGGTCCCTGCCCGCCTTATATAGTCTGGGGGGCAGGGTTACAAGTCGGTTAGATCTGAGAGATAACCAAAAAATAATAACACATTACATGAATCATGTGATCATACATATCCTAACAGATCTCATAGTATCTTCAGGATATTTTTTCGGTGTCTTGCGGGAGACGCCGAGCAGCGTCGTGCCTCGCAAGGCTTCGTCTTGTGGGCTGGACCGCTCCTGGGGGCACAACCCATATAGTCTGACGTGGATATCCGGGGTGGTACCTTCCACCGGAGTGCTGCCCGGGGGAGGGTAACAGAACCGGTTGCTTCAGCTGTTGTTGCACTTGCTACTCACAGGCGGGACCAGAACGGGAACCAAAGATCGGTCCAGATGGTCTGATGCTGTATGTGACTCTGTTGGCATCAAGAGTGCTGCTGTTACTTTTGCTCTCTGTCTGTATAAGGTTAACTCTGGCACGGATGTTGGTTTTTTCTGTTCCAAGGTGCGCTGTAGCTGGATGTTAGTTCGGCTTTGCTAAGCCTGTTACATCCCTCTAGCGCAGTTGGTCAAGCGCTCTTTCTCTCTCCCCGCTTTCTTTGCCCTAAACTCTTAAACTGATGTACATATGAGCTGCTCGATATACAGTATGTTGGCATGATAATCTTGATTGACTTTGTGTTGCATGTGAGATACAGTATGTTGGCTGCAACGTCTGAATGATAATGTATGGCATCATAACCTGTGAAAGTCTGTCATTGACATGGTATGTTGGCACATGAGCTGCTCGATATATGTTGACATGATAATCTTGATTGACCCTGTGTTGCATGTGAGATATGTTGGTTGCAACGTCTGAAGTCTAGATGAATGGACTTATGCTGAACGGCTGCTCAGTGGTTAACACGTTGTATTCAGAAATGCTGCAAGGGCATGTTCAATCATGTAACAAAGGTGCACCACCAAGCTTGTTGAGGAGATTCAGTGGCAATGACTGAATTGGTCTTGGGAGTAAATGATCATGGGCCACATCTACTTTTTTTTTAGAAGCGAGGAAGTTCCCCATTTCCATTACTAGAACGGAAATACAAGCAATTTTAGAGTTGTAAAGAGAAAGCAAAAAAGGGAGGCGGCAAGAGAGTTGCCAGACTGTGCATAAACAAGCGCGAGAGGACTGTTCATAAGAACTGACAAACTGCGCTTAACCCATCAGCGCAAGAGGCAAGGACTCCTGAACCCCAAACATAACAGAAAACTACCAACTAAGCTCGTCCACAACGCTTGGACATGAGAACTGAACATAGAAACCAGAAGGCAAGACATCTGTCATTCTGACTCGGCAGCAGCCCTCGGAGTCAGATGACCATTCCAGATTTAAGACGCTTTCCATCCGTCGGGCTGATCGCCGTCCTGAGCATCTGGATTTCCATTCTCCTGGATCTCCAGCTTGGGTTTCTTGTTGATGAGAATGTCCACTGCTAGCTTCAGCATGAGATTAGCTCCATCCTCCAGCGCTTTCTTATCAGCTTCTGCATATAGCCCTGCCCAAAATTTGATTAGCGCGCCTGCATGACAGATAACCTCAAGCGGACTCTTGATGAGTTTGTTATTGAAACAAGCATTGTTCCTCGCCTTCCAAATAGCCCAACAAACGGCAGCTATCCCACAGATATGGAATTTTTGGCCGTGTGGTAACCACTTATCCAGCCATGTCCAACATTGACTGAGGTTACTAGGTATTTCAGATGCCCCAATGCATCTGGCAACACAAGCCCAAACAACCTTGGCAACAGAACACCTAAAGAACAGATGATCAGCTGATTCGGTATGATCACAGAAATGGCAATCTGGATTACCACCTGGACCACATCTACTAGGTCTCAGAATTCAATTAGAAAGTCTGAAACGAATTTTCCATGAATCAACACCACCTCACGAGGTAATCAAGAGCAACGGAAAAAAGAGAAGCATGAACTGCACAATACAAACATAGCATAGAAGCATTAACACCCAGCATTTCATATCAGAGGCCTCATATGGACTATAGAGGCATACTTTTGGAATGGGAGGAAATGGTATGGTAACTTTAATCCACTAGCCACTAATTGTCGTCCTTTTACTAACATCACAGCAGAAATGAAATTACCATGATGCTGCACTCTTCATAGACACCTGTTTCAGTTGATAATCAATGATGTTAGCTATTGAAAATCTGCAATTTGGACGACCCAAAATGAGAACTCTAAATCAGGTGATAGCTCCTGCTGTTCCTGAAGCTCCTGCCACAAATACGTCACTGGGTGGCCTTGCTGAGCACCATAAACCATTCCAGGACCAGGTACCTGCTGCTGTGGCATGTGGTAGTATGGATATGCATCTGCTGGGGCACCCATGGGTGCCCTAGGAAGCCCAACTCCGTCCTCCTTCATCTCATCCCTAGGAATAATGTCGACCAAGAAGTCATAAATGTCTGTCATAGTGATGGCATCTGCAAATTGCAATGTCATTCTTCCTCGGTCCCCAAAAAATATAAATATATAATTCGTATTTGGTTCTCGTCCATAGCAAGATACTATTGACTGCTACAAACCGAGGAAGATTAGGGCGTCCGCAACGGGGTTCAAATAGCTAGGCTAGATGAAATCTCATTGGTCAGATGGAAGAGAGGGCAGCGCGCTAGCAACTTACTCCTAGCTAGGCTCGCACGCTTTTCAAAAAAGCCCTCTCTCACAGCCTACGTAGTGAAATATTCTGACGTCTGTTTTTTTATTATTTCTAAGCCGGCGATTTATCTGTCACCGTTGCGGACGCGCTGTTTTTTCCTCCTACTGCAGGTAGCCAAGCGTCCAAGTACGTACAAGAAGGTCATGGAGTATTTTGCATCACGCAAGCAACATCACCTGATCACAGTTACCTCCTGATGGCCGAACACGACGCACTGGGGACCTGGTGGCCGGCCCATTTGACGTGGGCCGTGGTACACGACGCGCCGCTACCGGATCTGTCCGTAAGTGGATCTCGGCCCGCCAAAACGTGCACTCTCAAAATTTGGCACTGCTCAAGGTGACACTCGCCGAGGGCCGACACGGGCACTACGGCCGCCTCTCAAATTTTGGCGCTGCTCCAAACGTAAAGACAAAACAGTTTCTCAAAATAACGTGATTCTTTTCTTGGAATCTGAAGAAACCAGCAAAAGGGACATATCGAAGAGAGACTAGCTGGCAAAAAGACAAAACAGTTGATGAGAATCCATAGTACGTGTACCTGCCTCTGGTCTGTAGGGCCAGCAGGCAGAACGGGGGAAAAAAAGTGGGGAATTCTCCATGGAAAACTGTGGGCAAATGTATAGGATCAAAAGTGGTTTCTTTCGTCTTCCCAACAATTCCTCCTAAATTTATAGGATGGTTCAAGTTCAATGTGTTAAATGTTTGTGTATGGCTATATAACATGGATCCACGGCATGTACCATGGCTACACCATTAGAACTGCCATTACTTTTTTTCCCCCAACCAACAGAAGTCCTTTGGTTCCGCCGGTGTGAGTGTGACCATCATCATCAGAGACGAGACGAGCCATGAGATGGGTCATGGGTAGGAGGAATCTGAGGGAACACCGCACACAGCTACTGTACTAACTAGGCCGCGGACCACCCAATTGAAAGATGTTCCTGACTTTGATCCTTCCTGTGGAGGCCCAGTCCACCTCCACTCGCTAGTCGCTACTCATCTTCCTCCCCAGTGAAATTCCCGTGTCCTGTGATCTACTTACTCCTATGAAGCAGGGAACTATTTCATCGAGTCAGACAGCCTAAAGAAGATTTGTACTACGCACACAAGAACCCATCACACGCACGTGTGAGCACTGCTACTCTGCAGGCTTCTTTGATCAATTCCCAGGCCGAGTAGTCTGGTGCTCTATATTATTTCAAGCGCTCGGAGCTTAGATCCCTGTCTTGGAACGAAGCTGCTTATAATGGTCGCTGAAATTTAACTTATGCTGATTTAGTAAGGTTACAACCAAACAGCCCCGTCCCCTGTAGATGGACATCGATGTCACATGTAGAATACAGTAGCAGGAATGGCTTGTTCGTTCGAATTTATCAGCCGACTTATCAGCTAGAATCTACAGTATTTTTTTCTCACATCAAATCAACTTCAACCGGCTTATCAGCCGACTTTAATACCAGCAATACCACCCATTTCGCTACCAAACGTCGTAGTAGATCGACATGCACAAACACACACATGCTACTGTATACATTAATTTCGCTTTCCCTTCTTTTATACGGCAGTTCCCTGCCTTCGTCTCCGGGCGCACCGGGTGCCAAACGTTGCTTTTGGACGAAAAGCACTCGAGAGGGGGGCCGCGAGCAATGCAAGTTGCGACGACGACTACGGAGCAATGCAAGCAGACGAGCTGACACCACAGCTCCAGATGCGTAGGAATACGATGGAGATTTCACCTCGTTTTCCCGGTTAGCTCGCCGAGCGGCACCAGCTTTTATTTATATTCTTTCTTTCTCTTCCTTCTGTCCCGAAAGAGATGGCGCGGGGCCATCCCGGCCAGGGGAAGAAGAAGAAACCAATGCGGGGGTGCCTCTCGTGAAAACGAATGGAAAGCTCGCAAATTCCTTCGTTTCTCCGGCCGTTTCTTCTTTCCAACTGTGTATATATATGTCCGATATCTCCATCGACCATCGGTTTTTTCTCATCGCTCGCGTGCTGGATCGGAGGATTATTCTTTCCCCCGTCCGTTCCCCCGTTCGATTCCGTTCCGTCCGTTCCTCCCAAAAGTTCTCATCGCCGTGCCCGTTGTTGCTGCTGTCTTCTTTCCCTTTATGGCACCACAAAAAAAAAAGAGCATTCTCAAGTTCAAGCGTCTCCCGTGATGACTGAACAGAAAGATCAAAGATGCATGACTGCATGAGGCGACTCCTGTGCTTTAGCTTTTATTTGCTCGAGTTTTCCCTTTTCTTTCCTTTTCTTCTCCCAAGTCATTTTCTCCTTTATCTTTAATTTGTTCTACTATTACTCAGTAGTAAACTTAACGTTGTCAAGCAAGTCTCTGGTCATGGAGAAAATTAGCGGTAATAATCAGGTGTCAACCTGCGCAAATAGATATACGTTGATACGAACTCGTTGTGCGGATTTGGTGGCTTTGCGGATATTATCGGCTTCATGGCTTGTGAAGCACAGCTAGCTAGCTGGGGAGCATATATAACAATGAGTCAGCTTCATGAAAAAGTAGGAGTACACAGCTGTGGCGAGGTGCATGAAACGAATATTGCCGCCCCTCCATTTTCTCCGGCCTTCTCTTTCGAAATATCCATCTAGTGTCAACATTGTCGGAAAAAGAAAGGGTAAGGTGCTCCTGCTGATTTATCCAGCATTACTAGTTGGCAGCTACATTTTGGTTAGAACTCATAAGTGGTGGGTTACAAAAAGGATGATTGGACACCTAAACCTCTCTCTGGATGGACAATAGATTTCACCACCGCCGCGCCTTGCTCGCTACGGAGGAAAAGAAATCAAGACAGCAACTAGTAGAACATTGACTAGTTATATTACACCTTATTTTCAACCGATAAGTTGCACTACGTCATTTCACCGGACGTCTCTGTTCTAAACGGTGTCACTACTATTATGGATATCAGGAAAGCTGCGAAAACAACTTAGGTTTTGTTTGATGCTGTCAGATTCATCCCAAACCACATATGTTAGAGTGGATTGAGTTGGATTTTGATTTAAATTCTACTCGAATACATCTCAACACATGTGGATTGATGTGAATACGACTACATCTAAATAGGGTCTCATGAGATGATATTGTCAGCACAAAACAATTTACAAACGATTAGTAATGTTTTTTCAGCACAGAACAAACCTTTAATCTCCTACATACAACTAAAAAGAACAAAGTGTGGACATTTTTTGGTGCGACATTTGTTTTGATTCGTCCGTCTGCCCACGCTTGCGATTCCACGATATCTTAATTACTGATTGATCATGCCATTCTTCTTGATTGAATATTGCCTGTCATGTGATAGAGGAATCATGGTAAAATAGAAAGTAAAAAATTATTATGCTATCCATACACACATTGCATGTTTGCATGCATCATCATACATGGCAACGAGCAAAAGGAAAGAGAATTAACACCGAAGGAAAGAGAATTAAGACAAAAGGAACATCTTTGCATTTCTGAGAACCTTACCAAATCTGCCTACATTTATTTACTTCTCCTCTTTGCATTTTTTTCTCCTTTCACTAAAAGGGACGCTTTTTCATCGCCTTTCATTTGATTTCTCTGAAATTGTCCTTGGGTATGTTCATTTTGAATCCTTTCCCCGCCCCAATCCATGGTCCATCGCAATTTCACCATTTGCGTGAACCATAGTTGATGTCATCTGCTTCCATGGCTCACCTCCCAATCCTAAGAGAAGGTCCATACCTCTCCTCGACCGGAGATCCGACCTGCCAGGATCTCCTCGAGTCCATCGGGCAGGCGTCTCGCGTCGAGCCACAACGGCGTCCTTCCGATCCGCTTGCTCCCAAGGCGTCCTTGTCCGCTTGCTCCCCATGGCGCGCCCGCCGCCCCGTTCGCGACCTTTGGGCCCGCTTCTACTACGCTCTCGTTCTTGTCCAAGACGCTTCGACATGCGACCAGGTGGCGTCGGCTCCTCGTGTGGGTGGTCCGCTCATGAAGAAGCGGCGTCTTGTCTTGAATCCGTTGCGCGCCGGCCCGCCCCGCGCGCGCTATAAGACAAGTGTCTAGGGTCCATGACCGGTGGGTCTCGATCCCACCAACTGCCTCGGGGCGCGTGCCGCAGTGGAGCCCATCAAGCTATAAGACATGAGGGACGTGTTCTTCCGGATCGAGATCGGTGTCGACGTCGCCGACGCCCGCTGCGTGGAATCCATGTTTGGGTGCTACACGGAGGTCGCGTTCTACCGAGTTGGAGTCGACAGCGTATGGACGCTGCTGGACACCAAACTAGAGTTCATCATGGGGTTCATCGTCCACTGCCAAGAGAAGTTCTTGGCGATCGACTGCACTAGAGAAATCTCCGTCTGCTGCATGCCGGGCCAATATATCTAACCGCGACGCCGCCATTTCATCATCCATCGCCACCACAGCTACCTGGAATCAAATGGTGAGCTGCACATTGTGGGTGCCATGGTGAGCACGTTCCATGAGACACAGAGCTTCACCTACAGTAGCACGATCTACAAATGCAACCACCACGATCGTACGCCGAAGTGGTCCAGAGTGAGGGACATCGGTGATCAGACATTGTTCGTGTCTAAACATTTCAATGAAAGCTGCAGTGGAACAAATGTATCCAAGTATAAGGAGAACAAAATCTACATGTCTGAGCCATTGTATAGGAATTCATACGACTTGTTCCATCGATTGGAGATCGTTGATATTGCTACCGGCGCATCCGAAGTGAAGCCCGTCTAGGAAAAGATGCAGGGTTCCAAGGCTCGAGGTTGGATTCGACCCA